TCGACGATTTGGTGTGTTTCTAATCAATGTCAGCCTATTGACTCAAACCAATGAATTTATTCCTAATTCATTCTATATTATTCCAGTTTTTGGGACTCAATCATTCCCAAACATTGACCAGTATTTGGGATCGATGGAATCCTAAATACTGACCTAATTTGGCGATATGCTGTGTGTTGTGGTTCCATACACTCTCAACCCAATGACTACAATTACTGAATTTCGGCCCAAAATCTGTATTTGGGATTGAAATAGTCCCAAATACTGACCTAATTTGGCAATATGCTGTGTGTTGTATTCCTCAGTGACTCCAAATATTGAAATTATTTTTTTTTGTTTGTCAAATTACTAAAGGATGACATCCACCGATTTATGTAACCAATGTTCTAAGACTTGTTTGTGGATTCCGCTGACAATGGTTAAGTCCTTGCTTTTTAATTCCGCATTGCTAGAAGTAAAAATTCCAGCTCTAACTTTTAATTGTTCATATGCAAGTTCATTTATAAACAAAATTCGGAATCCATCAACAGTTTGCGGAATCCAAAATAAATAGCTATATTCGCTTGTTGCGGAATCCGCGACACAACAAATAAGACGACAAAATTTGCATTACAATCAAATGTAAGCGGAATCCACGGAATTTTGTAGGTGAAATCCACTTACATTTTGGAACATGTTTTAAGATTAGTTTCTGGAATCCAGGCACATACAGACAAAATAATGTGCGCCTATCCAGTGCACAGTTTGGCCTCGTAATGTGAAATTAAACAAAAAAAATTTTAAAAAAATTGAGATTTTATGTGAAAACATCCCCCCACACGTCATATTAAATACAAAGTGATAGATTTTGCTCCTATCAACAAATCAATTATGGCATAGTATCTTCCTTGAACCAATTTGGAACGATTTCTCAGACGGATTAAATCTCGCTCACGCGTTAATAGCGCGAAATATATCGCGCGTTAATTGTCCCATATTGGCCAGAATAGCAATCCTTAAACCCCGCCCAACACTTTACGAAAAATGATCTCAGGTAAAATATCTTTTCAAATTTAAGCTCGGACAGCAATAGTTTTCAAATGATTTAAAAGTTAATTCCGTCAAAAATGTTTAGTCAAAAAGTCGAAATTTGTCAGAAGAAAAAAACCCACCCCGAGCTCAAATATTTCGTTACTTTTGTTACGAAAGTCGGAGCAACAAGACTGATTGTATATCAGGACGAAGCCCTGAGCACTCTGTCTTCCTTTAGTGCCCAAATATTTTTTTGTTAATAGAAGTTGTTATGAGATGAAAAAAGAAGAAAAATGTTATATTCATTTTGTCATAAATTGTTCCTCCACACATTACTCAAAGTTTTGAAGGATTTACTTAGGGTCTCGTGTTCTAAAAATACCAAAAATCATGGCTCAATTCTGTTCAGAACGATTTCATTCACCGTTTACGCGTGTTATGAGAAGCAATATAAAACTGATTTAAATTATCTGACCAAAGTGAATTTTTTGGTTTTTCAAGGCAATTTTCTCGAATCGATTCGACCGTAGACAAAAAGATTGCTTTTTTTTAAAAAATAGTTTTTTTATGGTATAGTATTTGTAGCGAGTCTCAGACCCCAGCAGTTAGTCATTTCTTGTTTTTTTTTAGTCATAAAAAGTCATAAAACATATATCAAAACTATCCGCTCACTTTCTGAACAATGTAGTTCGAAGTGAGCTACTAATGTTTATAAAAAATATTAAGAGTGGAAAAACATGAAAAATTTTTGCATAAAGCATAAAGCTTGAATTGTAATCAAATATTGGAACCAAATTACATAAAAATTCGGAAACTGACAGAAAGAAAAAGCAACCCCGAGCATAATTTTTCGATCACATCTCTTTCTTTGAGGGTCGGAACAAAAATGCGATTACTCAAAACTGCCTACGTTCTCATTTATGAAAATTTTACGCTGTCTTTGCGAAAAAAAAGATAATTAAGAAGGAGTATACTTAAAATTCGCATAAGTCACATAAGAAATTGAAGCGAAAAAAGCGAAAGGAAACATTCCTAAATATTTAATTCTCATAGATTTTCTACTCTTTTAGTGAATTTTTTGACATATTACACTTGTTTTTTATGTACACACCAAAAAGCTCATTTTACGATAAAAGGTACTGCTATGAAAGAGTAGTACCACCAAAAAGCAACTATAATAGGCAGGCTCCGCAAGCAATTGTATGCTATAATGTTGAAAACTACCTTGTGGATAATTTGTTCATTTCAAAAATCTGCTGAGTCAGTACCTGTTCAGGTTAATAATTATAACTACGATCTTGTTTATATCAAAAACTATGCTCGCTTCAACGTATTTTACGGTTTAATAACTACTATTGGATTGACTTAATTCTCATCAAAACTCAATGATGACAATTCTTTTGAAATTTCCACCTTAACATGATAATGTAGAGGTTTTACGAAGTAACAAAACATAAGATTTGTTTGAAAATAAACTGCGAAATCTTTCTGAATGGCAAAATCATAATTGTAAAACAATTTCAGCGCTCCGGTATCTTTTTCTCAAAAGATCTGGTCTGATCATTTTCAAGGGACCACGCTATCCTAGTATGATATACCAATTTTTTTGATAAAACAACAACAATTAAATTTCGATTATGAATTTTTTTGAAAAAGTATTCTTTCACAGAGTTAGTGTATGGAGTTGTATTACTAGTAATTTCGGTCTTTTCTATTAAGCCGGGATTGCGTCGGTGTCCTTGAAAATATTAAATGAGTTCTCAGGCAGCGGTCTAATAAAAATTTGAGAAAATTATGGGAAACAATCGGACGCCTTTGCTTATTTATTCAATTTTAGCTTTGATTAAAATAAACAAAACGCGAGAACTTATTTCTCACAATTACTTTTTTCATGGACCCTTCTTTCAAAATTGAATGAGCGAAGCTTTGAAACTGCTATTTATTACAGCAACTTGAGAAAATTTTTCGAAAAGAACTCTTTATCTTGACTGCAATTTCTTTAAAATATTATCACTCACAAAATTCTCAAAATAGTATTCAATTACATAACTCTTGTTCCATGCCTACAATTACATGGCATAACATCAGTCTGTTCACGCATTATTGTGATCAATTACCATGTAGAAACTCAACTTCGTATAAAATTTGAGCCAAATATCCGAATCCGCATTGATTTAAGTATTATTTTGTGCTTCATTGTCGGAATACTTTAGTTTGAAGTTTTTAATAAGTAAGTTTTTTTCGGTGGTAGGCCAACAAGCCGAAGGGCTAACAACTTGAAAATTTTTATCATTGCAACAAGCCGAAAAATAAAAAAAAAAGCAACAATACAACAGATTGTCGTTGTTCACTTGCGGTTGTTACGTAATTCTGGTGTAATTTACATAATTCTGATGTAATATGGGCTTCAAGATATGGCGGTTTGTAGATATGTCGGCTTGATGAACAACAGCCGTTTTTTCAATCTTGCACTATCTGAATAAAATGAATGGTAGACGAACTTAATTGGGATTTCTGTTGATGCCTGGCTGCTTTTTTTGCGATTCATGGTAAATTGAAGTGCACCGCCTATAGATTAATCAAATCTGGCTTGCTTTTTGAAATACCAACCCATCAATAAAAAATTAGTTCCTATCGGTTAATCTGAGCTGTAAATGGATATCTTTGCGAGCGCAGATTTTGAATTTATTAAAATTGAGCACAAGGCTACTTTTATTGACCTTGCTACCCCGGCCGAGTTTGTGATTTTATGATCGAACTATCGCAAAATTTGGGGTTTGCAGACTGTCACGACCAAAAACCAGTTTTTCCAAATTTATTGCAGGACCAAAGAGGTGTGTCCGCAACCTGCGCGACCGAAGAAAAGTTAACCGCGAGCGGTGCGGTGCTACTTTTGCCATCACTGATTTTTTGCCACAAAATTTAAATATTTTGTAAAATAATGCAAATCAATTTTTGCTTGCCATTTGACATGTTTTGCTGCACGATTAACCATCAAGTGTTTGGATATTTAAAATATGCTTCCCCATTATTTGAACTTTTTTTAGTGATTTTTTCATGTATTTTGCACAAGAAATGGCCAGAGACCGGATATCTTCCAACTTTAACTGCTGGAAAAATTCGCAAGAAATTGTAGAAACGCTTGCTTTATGAGTGTTTCATATCTCAAATGATTTTTAAGAGTAAATAAAGTAGTAAAGACTCTTGAAAAGGTCTTGGTAATTTTTTTGTTTTTTTCTTTTTCTGGAAAAAGTCCTAAAATGTGTTCACGCTCAAATTTATTTTTTCGCGGTTTGACTTTTGATTTCTTTTCAAGTTCAGTTCATTTTCTTTGATAAAAGGAGAAGGCAAATTCCACGATCGAACTGCAAAAGTCTAAAAGTCATAAAAATTGATCGACTTCTAGTTTCAAAAGTGGATTGTAATCATTCAAGGGAAGGACACATTCTCAAAAATAAATCAGTTTTTTTATTTTCTTACGTTTTTTCTCAAAACTTTTGATCAAAATTTCTTACGACACCCTAAAAGAGCGTCGAAAATCGGCGGATCTGCGCTGTTCTGCGCACTCTTTTTAAGCTTAAAAAATTCTGACAACTGTCATTTTAGTGACCGAAACTTGTCTATTTGTTGTTTGTTCTCCTTAGAAAACTGCTAATATTTGCTTATGATAATTTTTCCTGGCTGCTTATTTTTTCTACACCCTTGCTGGATGAAACAACACTTTGAGAAGATTACCTTCTTCACGCAGCAGAGACAGATAATGAGGCTGAAAACACTATTGGGGGCTTAATAAATTCAGGTTTACGCTGATTTTATATCTTGTTCTGAACTGATTTCAGATCTGTTACGACAATTATTTATCTATAAGTCCATTCCTTTTTCTTACCATCGATTGGACTCGGTCTTTTTTTTTCGGCCAACCACCAGCAATAAAAGGAGCAGTAAAATTTGCAAATTTTTCAATTTAGACTTTGAGAAATAACCAATAAGACGTTTGAATGAGAAAATAACTAAAAAACATATCGCTTCCATAAAAAATTATTTCCACGGCATCATTTGTTTTTAAAAGCACCGTAAATTAGATTTATTTGATGTTGTCCCAAATTGTGTTACATCGCGAATTAAACTTTAACCAGCATTTTTTGTATCCGAGTTACCTTTCAATTGTGATTTAATTGATGCGCATCTATTTTTCTCAATGTAATTTCATGCATCACCCGTTTTGCTGATGATCTTCGCAAGTCGTTTTGATTGATTCGGAGGAGATTTAATAAGTTATAAGCTTGCCATAATTTGATTTTCCTAATTCTCTCTCTCTCTCTCTCTCTCTCAGAATCTTTGTTTCTTTTTCTCATTCTCTTGTTTCACTGTATCCGCGACTGTATTTCTGTCGAGATGAATAACGTTTCTATATATCTGATCGCAGATTGCCTGCATTATTTTGACAGCAGTTTTGAAAAATACTTTTTCCTCCCAGAAAACTTAGACTATTCAGAACTAGAAGACCCCTCCATTTTGTTCATACCTGAAAGCGCAAGCTCACATTTGAGCGAATGTGAACACTTTTTCGAAGTCTATAATTCAGTTGGCGATTATTTGAGACTTGTCATGTGCATTATTGTTGTTTTGGGGCTACTTTTGAACTTGTTTGTGCTGCTGGTGTTAGTTGTTGACAACACCAAGACCTCTTCTGACGTTTATCTGATGAGTATTTCGCTGGGCGATATTTCAATTTGTCTGGGGGTCCTCTTCTCACAGAGACAGTTTTTCAGTGACAGCTTCACAGCCGTCCTTGGAAAAATTTTCGGCAGCTTAGGTAAGCCCCGCATGCTCTATTTATGTATCGGTCGGCCGGGAATTACTTGGGTGTTGAAACGTAAGTTAATGGCTGGGAAATACAGTACCATCAGGACTAGAGATGGTATCAGCTTCACTTGACAAAACTTAATTTGTGTTTCGACTCCGAATTAATTCTCCTCTGAATATTTCAAACTGCTGTGTTTCAATTTCCAAGTTTATGACGAAAACCACATTGAGTGTTTCAGAATCTATTCCTCATTACGAGGCCAAACTATAGGCGCACAGTTTTGTGTCTGTATGTTCCTGGATTCCAGAGAAAAAACTTCAAATATGTTCCAAAATGTGAATTCTTACTAAATATTCGTGAATTCCCTGTAAAAATATTTTTAACATTAACTTTGTCGGCACATTAGTTTTTCAGGATTCCGCAAATGTAAGCGGATTCCGCATATGTACTTGGATTCTGTCAATTTATGCTGATTCCGCTTACAATAATCTAAGAATTCCGCTTACAAATTGCAGATTCCACTTACAGCTACAGATTCAACGACATCTTAAGTTGACTAAACACATATGTTAGTATTCGCATAAGAATGCCACAAACTGTTCCGAATTTCGCAATTTTGTCGTGGATTCCGCAAAGTTTCCTGTTTTTGGTGCGATTTTGAGCAATATAGTGTTTTAGTTATTTTAGATAATTCCAAAAAAGCAAAGAAGATCCCAGAAAAATAGCAATGTTCCCGATTTCGCAACAACTCTGTTTTTGGCCTGTTGAGGAATCTGCTTACAATTAATAAAATGCACGGTTTAGACTGGTAATGCTTTTTTCATCAAAAAGTGAATTTCCTTGCAGCATTTGGACATTTTTTTTGAAAAAGCCAATTAAATACTTTTTCTGATAATCGCCAACACACAATAAAAAAATTTCGCTGTCAAATTTTAGAATGCCTCAAGCAAACGCCACAGGCCAAAAATAACGTTTTTGGGCACATTTAGGTAGGTTTTTTGGGCACTTTTTGGAAACAATTAGTTTATTTTGGAGGCAACATAAATCTTAGATAAATTTTAGGGTTCTTCGGCTGAAAATGAATGTCGTAAATAGTACCGATTAGGGGGACCTTTTGAGTCGCCAGGGGTTCAAATTCTGGAAAGATAGCTCTCTGGAAAGAAAAAAAAGAGAAAAAAAGGCAAAGTTTTTTATTCTTGGCTTGCCGTTAATTTCCTGTAGAGTAGTATTTGATAGCAGCATTTGCCTATAGAGCAACATTGAAATGTATCAAAAAAAAAATTTTCCGAAATTGATTTTTTTTCTTTTTTTTTGCTTTGCAGTCTTTTTGTGTAAGTTTCTTCGAAGATTTACAGGAATTTATTTTTGTCACAGTTTTCCTAAAAATCTATAAAAATTTCAAATTTTTTTCTACTTCAACTAAATTATACGAGAGTCTAAAATGACCCTGAAACGAAAAAAGTTGCAAATATAAAAAATTGCTTATTAATCTCAAATAAAATTATTATATAATGTAACAAAATCAATATCAACCTTATATGGCAATTTGTCGACCTTTTCTCCCCATTTTCTTGCATACTTTTTGTCTAAGAATGACCACTTCGGTATAAGCTGTATTTTTTATAAATTTATTGATCTTACTGGTAACAAGTGTCTTTGAGCCTGTTTCAAACGCTTCTTAACGAGTAATCAATGAGAAGAACAAAGTATTCTGGTCTAGTTTGGGATGTCTAGTTTTAGTTAACCATGTCTCCTCTGCTTAAAACGTCCAATATTTGCATATCCAAAGACCAACGAATGATTTTTTAAGGATTTTGAAAATATCATTGAAATCGATGAACTTAGGTGAACTTTGGTGCTTAATGAAAACCATTTGAATTTCTCCTAAGTCGAATTAAACTTCTTTCAAACTAGTCTCTAAACTTTTTACGAAATAGGAATGAAAGTTTTTCCAACAAAATCAAAAAAGTTTTCTTTGAAATTTTTTTTTTAAAAGTGACGTTTTCTACATGAAAGTTGTAAATTCGTAACTTAGGTTCAAAATTTTTTATCAAACCCTTAAATGCACTTAACTAGGCAAATCATTGAAAATTTTTTTTTTTAAATTGTTTAAAGTGCGTTCATTTTAAATACAATCTAGAAATTTTTATCATTCATAAATAAAACTTGTTTTGTTTTCCATAATTAGGGTATTGAAATACATCCAAAATGTTTTCAGCAATTTTTGCGAAACCATTTTTAACTCAACTTTTTTAACAACTTCTTATATTTACTGAAAACATTGGGAACAATTAACTTACCCAAGCTTATGACCTGCTTTTTGTTTTGAAAGGTGCACAAAACTTGGGAAAAAGTTGCTATCATACAAAACTTTTCATTCGAACTTTTTTCTTCTCTAAGCTTAACATTTGATCAATTTATTTTTTTTCTAAGCCCTTGTTTGGCGACCTTAACCAAGATAGTCAGCTCAGTTATCTCTGACCAGTTGAACTATTTATAGAGCATAGGGTAAATTGGCATGGGGTAATTTGGCATAGGGTAGATTGGAATAAAGGGTAAATTGGAATCGGGTAGATTGTCATGGAACCAATAAAAATCGATTGTCATGGAACCAATAAAAGTTTTTTAAATGTGTTCAAATTGATTTAAATTGACTGAAAAAAACAAAAAGTGAAAAAAAAACACAAATTGATGTATTTAGATTGGCTCAGAACCCTTTTTAGTTAATTTTTCTAGCCTAATATGTGATCAGTTTGAAAAGATTTCAATTTTTTTGAAACCAAATTTTTTCCTTGTCTAAACCCTCGTTTGTTACTTAGAGTGATTTTGAGACAATTTTATCAATGCGGAGAGTAATAGCCTTATACTTGTGCCTTTAAGTACTAGTTGGAGCTAAAATGAAAAATATCACAAGTTTTTCCCAACATCCGAAGAAAAATGTGTCTTGCTAGCTAAGGTTGCTTTAAGACAAAGAGTGGTTGAAATACGCCACGCTGCATCATGTCAAAAAATAACTCTATTTCATCTATTTATCTAGATTGTTGTCGGAAAATTTTGTATCTAGGTTGTCAAAACGGCTAGTCATAAATACTAATTCACTTTCCCGTACACTCAAACATATACAAAATTGCATGAAAAATTAATGAATCGCGTTTTTTATTCATTGGACTTAGATCGCTAGCATTTTTTCATTTCATAATCTCAGACAATTAAACACAAAGCACAATCACGGATATCATTAATCCATAGTTCAATATGGTATTTAATTTGCCCCATAAAAAATGTGCTTTGAAATGTGCCATGTCATAATTACTAGCTCTCTAGCGGTAATATCACAAAATCTTTTTGTTTCTGATATTGGACTATATCGGATATTTTAACGGCACCTGTCTTTAATAATATCGAACAAAATTCATAGATGTCACAATCTTTTTTTATTCATCATATGCAAAAAATAATGAGATAAAAGCCAATTAAGCGTCATGTAATTTGATAAAAGCTGAACCAACATTTTACAGGCTCCAATTAAAAGTTCGTCTTTTTGTATTTTTTTTACAAATTTTTCAAAAGGCCTGTTGAAACTTGATTGACAGCGTACACAAGTGCAGCGAAAACTCATTTTCCTCATTTAATTAGACAAAAATAGTCGAACAATGTGCACTTTTCGGCCCACACTGAAACAGTCATTTGAAGGCTTCGGTCTAATTTAAGTCGAACAACGGGTTAAACGGGGTCAAGTAGAGTCAAACGGGGTCAAATCATAGGTCGTAACTTGGGTCGAACAGAGTCGAATCATGGGTCGAATCTTGGGTCGAACAGAGCCGAATCATGGGTTAAATCTTGGGTCGAATCTTGGGTTGAAAAGACTCGAATCTTGGGTTGAACATCTCAATTCTTTCTGGAAAATTTTTATCAAGTAGTCCTTTTGTCATTATTTTAGGATAGCCCTTTCTGACTGATTAATCACTAGAAACTTTAAAACGCCTTGAGAAATAATAGCGCGCTGAAAGCTCTCATGACGGCATTTTTTAACAAAAAGTTGCAGGCCATGCTGAAAACTTTGCTAAAGAGCTCGTAAGAAATTGAGATTCAAGGCTTGAAATTCAATTATATATAAGTTGTTGAAGTTTTATGTAATTTTACTTGTATTTTTTATCTGAAAACACTCTAATTTCATCGATGGGATAAAAGCATCAGATTACAGTGTTTTTTTAACTATAATTTAGTCGCTAAAGACTCCAAAGATTAAAGTTTTTGAACATCGTTTCTTAAATATTCAACACTTTCTTTGAAAGACCATTATGAGCATCTACAGATCACGTTGTTCTTTAATTATTTTTTTGCGATGCTTAACCACTTCTGCGATGCTTTTATAAGAAAAACTGCCGCTTGAGAAATTTCTGCGTTGTGAAGTTCAGGGCGTTAATTGTTTACAATTTTGAACTAAATCAGAAACAACTGATGTGAAATGTCTGTAGAGCTAATCAGGATTTACTACACAAGGAAACGTTCGCTAATTTTCACTAATGATCCGACAACTTCTTAATATTAGTATAAATTTGAACTTATTTATCAAAGAGTTCGTCTTTGCGTTAATTTGAGCAATCAAATCTCCAGTAACAAATTTTTTAAAGATATTTGTGCGAATAATTATCTGTTTTTTGTAAATTTTAGAAATTTTGTGAATTTTTTGTGAGTTTTTTTCAGATTAATCTAATTTTACTCATTTTTCTTATGTTTTTGGTTTGTATAAATTTTTCTGCGAAGCTTGCACGTAATAATCAGAACAAAAGTAATGCGCTAATAGTTTTATTCTGATTTTCGAAGAAAGGCAGTATAGTTACTGCTTGGGGTAATTTGTATCGCCAACTCTCGTAAAGGCCAATTTTGACTCTGTTTCAAGGAAAATTTGTAGTGTTTTGAGTGTGGCATCATGTTAAAACTTTTTTTGACTTGATTCTAACAAAAAAAACTGAAAAGAAATCAGTATCGAGAAAAACTGGTATGGA